GAAGCTCCTAAACCGAATCAAATCCATCTGTTAAAAGTTCATTGTCTGCTTTTAACTTCTTCTTAAAGCCCATCTACTCTCAAGTAGTTGTATCTGGCTTAATGTATATAAATGAGTTTTTGTTTGTCTTTTTTAATTCATTAACTGGGCTGATATGGTATCATTCACCCATTGTAAACGGTGTTTAATTTTTACTCACAAAAGCAGTTTGGTCCATTTACAACAGAAGAGGATTAGGGCCACTGAAAAAATAAAGTTAACTGATTTTTACATTTTATTTCAGTTTAATATGGGAAAAAAAATCAGAATTCTGCGGGAAAAAAGTCAGAATTCTGAGATTAAAGTCGGAATTCTGAGAAATAAAAGTCGGAATACTGAGAAAAAAGTATGAATTCTGACTTTTTTCTCATAAGTGGAAAAAATATTAAAAAATCAGTTCTTTTTTCCGAGTGGCCCTAATCCTCTTCCGTAATTTACATGTTTAACAGTACACATAAACTTGAATTAAATGTTAAATATTGAATTAATAAGTTCAATATTCAAACTAATATATGTGGTCAAATTGGATTTTCCTGTCTGGAAATGAAAAAAGGCCACCAAAGGAAGGAAGTCTTTCTCAACCTTGCAGAAAAGACAGGATTGTTGAGACAAAGCATGTTTTTGATTGTGGACTGACCTCCATAGAAGTACTGGTCCACAGTCTTCAGCCAGCCCACGTCGTCGTGTGTGTGGGGAACCAGGTGGACATTCAGCATGCCAGGCTTGGTGGCGTGACATGACTGCAGACATAAAACACAGTTTATCAACATAAAAGGGTTAAGAACCAAAAGTGTTAAACACGAATAAAACCTGGCATGCTAACTAACGTCCCAAACTAAAAGCTCACATAAGGAATGAGTGAAAGTGAAAATAGTCCGTCAGCCTTATTTTAGTTTAAAAACACAGAATTAAAACTTCTTCAAACAGTAAAATCAGACTAGAACTGTAATGAACGACCTGGTATCCGCAGGCGGTGCTGGTGTCTCTGTTCTCCTGACCGACAGGAAAACTTAAAACCCCGCTGAAGACAGACAGAAAAGCGACCAGCAGCAATAAGTAGGCCGCCATGTTGCAAACTAACATGAAATCATGTGATACATGTTTATATCAGGTATGGTCACGTGATCAAATTCCACATGCGACATGGGTGGCTAAAACCCTCAATTCAGACTGTCAGGCACAACCGACGACCCGATCTTCTATAAAATTCTTCTACTGTAGCAAATTCTTTGGTAGTTTGCACCTCAATGGTTCTTTAATAGATTGTATTACATTTTTTCCGCATTTATCGGCATTAATTGCATTTAATTAAACGTGTAGTTTGAGTTTTATTCATGGGAAAGGTCCTAAAGGCCCGTATTCAAATGAAAACCGGTTTCATCAAGTTATAGTTTTGTGAAGTGGTGCATCATCATGATTCAATTCAGTTTTCAATTCTGTTTATTCACAACACACGTCATCTCAAGGCACTTTACAGTTCACCAGATCAAAAATTTTAAGTTTTCTATCTAAGGAAAACCAGTTGATTGCATTGAATCATTCTATCAGATGCAATCCTTCACATTAAGCATGCTTGTAGCGACAGTGGAGAGGAAAAACTCCATTTTAACAGGAAGAAACCTCCAGCAGAACCAGGCTGGTTCTGTGAGCGGCCATCTGCCGAGGCCGACTGGGGTTCAAGGAGACAGAAGCAGAGATACAAAAAGGAACTGTAAAAGGCGGCCCCGTCCAGGAAACACACAGCCAGGCAGACGAGCGCCGAGCCAACTCCCATGTCAGAGGATGAAGAGGGCACATCCAGCATCCAGCCAGTCACACTCAGAGAAAAAGGACAATGGAAAAACAGGCCGATCTCCAACATCTATAAACAAAGGTGTTGATGGCAGCAGCACAGCTGCTATTTCTCTCCAGGGCGGCATCACAGCCAAACAGGTACAGATGAGGTGAAGTCACTATGAGAAAAGGCAGAGAGACCATAATGTTAGAAATTTAACTAACACATTCTGCAGAGTGATGAAAAATTATGAAATAGGGGTCCCTATGTCCTCCAGAAGTCTAACCCTATAGCAGCATAACTATAGAGATAGCTCAGGATAACCTGTGCCACTCTAACTATAAGCTTTATCAAAAAGGAAAGTTATAATGTTAATTACAAAGGACTAAACCTATAAAAAGTCTTTTTATTTGTTAAACATTTTAACAAGTGTAAAATACATACTGGAAAATTCACCAATTTTATTGTAGGGCTAAAAAACTATCAACATATGAGGCTATGAAAAACTAAAAGTGCTGTTGCTGAATAGTTTATTGAAAACTTGCTAAGTTAAAAACTGGCTTTGAATAGATGAATCATTAAATAAAACAACTGACTGAATATCAATATTGATGGGCAAGTAAGGTTAAATTTATATGACCTTAAAAGTCCTCATTTAAAAGTGTGAACAAACACACACTTGACAAAATGATGATTATGAACCTCTTCAGAACTCAATTAAATTTCATTCAAGCTAATTTCAAAACAGCCCCACTAAAGAAGGTAAATTAGAGCTTTTTTGGGCATCTTTGTTTCTGCAATTGTTCAATGAGGCTCTATACAAATGAACAACTATGTCGCATGTTCTGTTGTTTTTAGTCAGCCTTAGTGCCTTAGTTAGTCCTTAGTGCTTGAGTAGGCATTTTGCCAGGCATCGGATAATGATTTTTGGATAACAAAACCAAACAAAGAACTTCTCAGCAGAATTCCTCTTCTGATAAAATGCTGAGTTTTAGTTTAGATGATTGTTTGTCACCGGATGTTTTTAGGGTCCCTGTACTTTAAAATGAAATCTGGATGAAGACAAGGGTTTTGCACTGCTTGTCAAAGACTATCTAAGAAATTTTGAAGGGAAACCTTCAAAATCTCCTAAAATCTAAGTTAGACGTTTTCATTTTAGAAGCTTTAGGTTTAGACACTTTGGTCGAACGTGCATCAGCATCAGAGGCAATGATACAGAAATCTCAGCAAATAGATAAAGAACAATGGCTTTCTCCTGATGGGGACAGAGACATTGCTTTTTTACCCCTAAGGCTGATAACAGAAGAATGTTTAACAAGTTTGAAGGAATTTACACACACTGCAAAATAAACTGATGAACCAAGCACGTATGTTTGGTTATATTTAGACTTCTCCAGCTATATGATAAGGCAAAAAGACATTTTAGCTTTAGAAGTACTGAAAATATAACATTTATAAAGACCATTTTCATTTCAGTGATTCTTATTACAGCTATACTCTTATTCCTTAGCTGTAAATGCACAATGCCTCTTCCTTTTTCGTCCTACACAATTTGTATATTAAGAATACCTATTTACGCTGAATCAGTTGTACAGATGTCTTGGGAAGTTATGAAAATTAATTTTGCTTCTGGACTTATCATGTATATTCATATCCCTGCAAATACACTTGCTGGTAAATGTTTTCCTGATTCTTAAGTCAAAAGGCTTTTTATAAAAGACATACAAAAACACTGCTGAAGCTTAAAAAAAAGCTCTTAGTTGGAAAGAGGTACATCCAGAATCTCTGCTAAGTTTAATAAAACAGTTTTCCAGATGTTTAATCTAAAGCTAAAAATATATAGTCAGTTTGTTTTATTTTATTTATTATTATAAGAACAAGATTACAGAGAGATTCATTATATGGGTAATATTATGCAGATAGCAGAAGCAGTAGCTGGGCTGATATGGTATCATTCCTTGACATGCCTTCAAAAAACGTTGATTGTATAAGAATTTTTCTCTTTAAATTGTATTAAATCACTTTAACTAAAATAGCACAATTAGTTTAATGTTTTTTTTTTAGATAATAAAAACCAACCGATTGCATCGAGTCATTCACTTTAGAGGATTTACTCCTCCTAGAAGGGAGCATTCTGTAGTTGACTCTACAGCAGTCCCTGCTGCTCAGCATGCATGCAGCGACAGTGGAGAGAAAAAAAACTCCCTTTTAACAGAAAAAAAAATCCAGCAGAACCAGGCTGGTTCTGTGATCAGCCATCTTCCGAGGCCGTCTGGGGTTCAAGGAGACTGAAGAAGACCAAAAAAAGGAGCATAGAAGCACTGATTTATAAGTACTTTCTATGTCAGGAAAGGTAACAGTGAACAAGCTTCATAAGTGCTTCCGTCTAGGAAAGAAACTGTTAGACACATGAACTATGAGCTGGTTTTCATATTTAAAGGATAAAAGAGAGCACACAGAGGTAGAGTCAGAGTAAAAGCTGAGTTAACAGCTATGTTTGTATCTTTGTAACTAAACAGTAAATATGAAGTAACTCCTAAGCAGCTGAAATACTTTTGTTTATGGAGAATAAAAAAGATAAACCCATCATGCAAAGCAAGTCTTCCAGGCAGACTACACAACTTCCTCCTGGCTGTACAGAAAGGACGCTGACATTTTTCCCAATTTATTAGAATCCTTTGGCTTTTATTCAAGGTATTTTGCTTTTTTAAAAGTACAAAAATGAGAGTGAAAATGTCCTGTTTTGTAACTGAAATGTGTTAATTTCGGACAGCATATTATTCAAATTCCAAATAAAACAACTTAAGTTTTTTTTTTTTTAAGAATCATATTGTTAAAAGACATTTACATATTGGAGATCTGATTCTCCATGTTAAGTACCCTTTTTCTGCTAAATGGACATAAATCTTTGAAAGTTCATAGAGAGAAAAAGCACACGATAATATAGAATAGAGCCGAACGTTTTACTAATCCTCACAAAAAAAGACATGACACAGTTGTTACAGTTTCACAAAAATCTGTATAGTTTATTAAAAGTTAAATTATACATAGCAGAAATAAAGTACTTACACATTATTTGGAAATTCTTTTTCATTGCTTCTGTTTCCACATGCATTAAAAAGAACCCAGCACATTAAAGCCTTTACTAAGGTTTAATGCCATTTTTAGCCCTTTCATTTGTTTTTTAATTGTAAAATTCTACCTTCCTCATTCCAGTATTTGGGTTTTCTGGATTGTGACCAACAATCCCAGCTAATTGGCTAACAGCAGTAATAAATCTTTGGCTGCATTTTGTATCAAAAATATGGTTTATATGATTTGTCCATTGAGGTTTTATTAGAAAAACAAAAATCTTTACCTGTATTGACCAGTGCAGTTAAACATTGAGATTTTTTCCTAAACATGTAATAAATATAATAACTTTCACCATAGAAAAATGTTATTTTTAAAAGTAAACATTATTTTCTTGATTGTCTTTGGTTATATTTTTTTAGTGTTGACCTCCCATAGCACTTTGTTTATGCCCTTTAGATCCTACCCCCATTAGCTCCCTCATGTGGGCAGATGATTAAGGTGGAGTCCAGATCCAAACGGAAAGCCGGGTACAGCGGCTGAGAGAACCTGCAGTGAAAAGTGTGAAGCAGCACCACCGTGTCTGACACACTGTAGAAAGACAATGCCCCTTTCTGCCGCTCTATAAGCACGCCGATCCTTGGGCAGGGTGGCGCTGCCACTGTGGTCTTGCGGTTGTCGTGCCACGCAGAGTAACCTGTATGGGTACACCTCAGCCGCCAGGAGTTCTCGTTACGCCCGAGCAGGCAGGGCTTTCCACCACCTTTGCGTCCGATTGACAGCGACGTGAGGCCTATGTCGACCCATCCGCCTCCCCTCCACTCTACCTCCCAATAGCTGGCGGCGCTGAACTGACCCTCCCTGCACAGGACTTGTGCCACTGAATCAAAGCGATGGGGGTGAGGGGGGTAAGGCTGCGTGTCTTCGCCACAGTGGGCCCCCTGAGGCCCCTCAAGGAGGACCAGAGTGGGGTGGGCGGTGTAAGGGTCCAAGGAAAGACGACACGAAACTGGAGACAGCAGAGAGGGAAGTAAATAAGCAGTTGCAAAGGAGGATCTCTACATTTTTATGCTTCTTGTTAGGAGGCATTTAAAAAACCTATCTAAACATTCAGATTTGAAAAGATGGAAAATAGTCTGAATTAATTGGCTTAGAAAGGAAACTACAGTGCAAAAAAATGAAATCTAAAACTTCTTAGAATACGTACATTTTCTTTTCTGGAATTGAGCAGGTAAGTGAAACACTTTCTCAATAGAATAGGAGAATCTACATTTAAAAAACAATTGAATTGTCTTATCAAGGGCATATTATCTAATTATCTTATTTAAAGGGTAGAAATATTAATCCCACTGACATATCATATTATTTACCTGCACCAATTAAGGGTTAATACACATATTCTAAGAAGTTTTTACTCATTTTTGATTGTTGTTTTAAGTTATACAGCGAATATGGGAGGATTCTATGTGATCCTATATAGTTTGCATTCATCTCATTTTACTTTAGCTTGAGTTCCTGGGAAATGGAGGAAAAACTTCTTAGAGGCTAGGACAGGAGATTTAGGGCGTGGTTCATCTTCTAGCAGTCTATAAAATCAGCCATAACAAAGTGGTTCATACTGAAGTGCATTTACATGTTTAAATGGCCCAGTCAAAGTCCAAACCTTAATGCAATACAGAAGCTGTAACATTTTAATAGACACTCTGCATCAAAGCTTGAACTATTTTGAGAAATGCAAAAAGAAGATTTGCATGGTAAGTATATCATTGGGAAGTGTCAGGCCCAGGGGTGATAAATCAACCAGTACATCAGAAGACATTCGTCACTGATGGGACAAAATGCTGTGCATTACCTTACTCCTCCACAACATTCATTTTTAATGCCTAACAAGGTGCCAAAACACTGACACATTGTCAGCTGGAAGAAGCAGAAGCACTGGTCTTAATGATAAAGCAGAACGTCATAAATACACCATGATTCTCATTTATTATTGAAGGAGGTCTAGACGAGGCTCTCTGATTTCCAAGCAAGATTCTCGCTATGTAGTAAATAGAAGCGTGGAGGGAAGAAACAGAGAGGAATGAAATGGTGGGGGGGGTCTGTTTAATTTCCTGACAATGATTTTCCTCAGGCGGCTCTGCATGCCGTCTCTGTGATTATTCTTCTCAAACTGTATCTGAAAACAACACTGTGAGCATGAAAACTGAGCACAGGTTCTTCACGTGAAGCTCTTACATCTGAGTAAAGCCGTCCTCATCCTCTGATCAGGTGGCTGCAGGCACAATGTGGACAGCGGAAAGGAAAATGGAAGAGCTGAAATAAAGGAATGAAATCCAAATGTTTGTTATGGAATCTTTGTTTCATAAATGTCCAAGATGCTCTGTCATCTTCCACATACCCCTATTGTTCTGTTGCCCCACGGATTGGCATTGCTGGGGTTTGGAGTTCCTCTGGCCACCTTCCAAACACAACAAAGATGACAGCACTTAGTGGAAGATAAAAAGGATAAAAAAAACAAACAGAAAATCCTGATGATGGCATATTATAATGTGTTGCTGTAAACCGATGGATGAAAAGTGTTTATTTGTAATCCCAAAGTCACATCTGGGCAATTGGGCTCAGTTTCTTTTTAATGATACCATTTTGCTGCCAAGTGTTTTACACCAAATGCTGATATACAGCTGCAACTGTATTATATTTGCACATGCAATCTATTAATATGTTCTTCTAGAAACAAAACAAAAAAAACAACAAGAAAAAACAAACTCTAGCTTAAAATATCATAGAATAAAATCTAAGTCTTACTTTATAAAAGTATAAAACAGACAAAATGATGCTGCATCAGTCTGAAATGGAAGTAGGAGTGTTGTTCATGATTAGAAATCCCTGTAGATTGTCAATTTATGTCAAATCCAAGCTTAGCTGGAACCAGAATCAGTCAAGTCAGTTATGTTTTTAAAGGTTTTTCAGATTAAGCTTAATGTTTTAACAATAATGCATGTAAAGACTGATGGAGTAAAACACAAATAAACTATTTCCATCAGGTATTACCAAAAAACTATTTAAAAAATGAGGTGAAACTCCAGACTTGGAGATCCAAAGATGAGCCACAGAGGGTCATGTCAGACAGCGCCCTCTTGTCCCCAACATTATTATTAATTAATGATCACAGCGTTAAATGTCATGTAAAATCCACTGACATGACTCTCCCACACAGGGCAGGACACAGTGGAGTGTGTGGGTGCATCTGAGGATCTTGTTTCTCATGCCTACCGTTTAAAAGCTCTCCTCCGGGGACATAGTTCTCATTACCTGGAAGAAAAACGACGCGTCAAACTGAGGGAAATGTGCCAGTCAGCCCAAAGCAAGCATTCAGTGTATATCTGCATCCTGTTAAAGCTGATGGGAACTTTTCTAGATAACACCAGGGCTTTTGTGAGTTGCATTTCTGTACCGCTTCAGTATATTTAGTGTCTATCCCCTTCAGGGTGTAATATACCTGCACGGCTGATCTTGTCCACCTGCTCCCTGCAGACATCCTCAATGCAGCTGCGTAAGTGACTCAGAGCTTTCCTAGCATCGCTGAAGGCCTCTGCAGGCAAGCTGAAGGTTTTGTAGTGTTGATCTGTGATGGGAGGGATGCAGAGCAGTGGGGCGGCCTAAGCCAAAGGTAAAAACAGAGAGCGGAAAATTACACCTGCCCTCCCTCCCTTCAATCCTCATTAGTTCCTCTCATCCATCCTTCCTCCAGTATCCGTTATCTGCAGGACAGATATCTGAGGATCTCTGGCTGAGGAAACACTTCCTAATGGAGTACATTTGTGGTTGCCTGATGTTTTCCATGTTTTCAGACAGAGTAGGATTCTCAGTGCAAGCTAGAAAAAATAACACATTATAGATGGAAACCTTTAAATAGTGAAAAAAAAGAGCATTAAATTGTTACAAACACACCAAGGAACATGTGGTTACAAAAAAATAGATAAAATAATAAATAGATGTGGTTTTAGTCAAATTAAAAAGAATGCAATTAAAATGTATGCTGGTAGTTTATTTTTCATTGCTCCTTCCATTATCTGTTCTTCTTTTTCCATCTTCAAAGTGCTGGTGTTTCTTTCCTGTTAGTCTTTTTGTTTCCAAGTAAAAAGAGGCGAGGGATGCTGATGTCATTTCTGTTTCCAGAAACCTTCTCCTCAGAAGTCGGATCCTATTTTTATTTGGAAAAACAACCCACCAACCATGTTCCAGATCAGTTACCTAGGCAGTTCCAGGTAGCATTAGTTCAAGGGCTTTTCTTAAAACAAAGTCTTCTTTTATTTACTTCTAGCTAAATAAAATGAAGGGCCGCTTCTCAATTCACAAGAACGCGAGTACGGACTTGTGTCCTCGCCAAGTATGTTCTTGAGAAGAACACAGGAAGGTACCTGCATTTTACCTCCTACTATTAATAGTCTCTAGATAATAATACATTCTTACCTTTTTTATTTAGTATGGAATAATAATAAACACAGTCAGATAAACACAAATCAAATCAAGATTTTTCCAAATAAAATCGCCATCAGAGCCAGCGGTACTTCACACACGGCTATGCTGAGAGAGAGCTGCTGTAGACGGGCTAAAATTTGCCCTGGCTGCGGATAGCCTCAGGTCCGCTGGTTGCCACGGTCCTCTCAGCATCTGGACTTTTTTTTAAATAACGAGCTAAATCAGTAAATGGGCCATATAGTGAAGCTTAAAAGTATAGTGTTCTTACCTAAATTTATTTTAAAACGTACTCTTATAGAACAATGGCGACAGAAAAGAGAACTTTCAACTTAACGGTATTGTGGAGGATTTTCGCCAATTTTTTAAAAGACCCGCCCTCTGCACTTTCCCTCCTGAGATGGAACGCCTATGAAACGCCTGCTACAGAATGCAAGAGCCCATCTCTCCGCGTACACGTTCTCCTTAAAAGTTGCTGTTCTCATAGCTAATACAAGCTTACTGTGCCCGAACGTCCGGCCTAACCCGCCCTAAATCACTATATAGAGCAGGGACTATATAGTAGACTTTATAGTGAACTCTGTTAACTTACCATTCAGACAGATAATCACTACTTTTTGCTCTGTTGGTAACGTAACTCCTCCTCCACTGCACGTTGCCTGCTCCATCTCTGTCGGTTAGCGTTTGCCTATGGCGACAGCAGGCTGCTGTGACAGCAAATCCCATAATGCTTTGAGAGGAGAGCTGTCTCAATGCAACGCATTCTGGGATACATCTGCCTCTTCTGAGGCCTTTTTTTTCTCCTTCTCATACACTTCGTAGACACTTTTTCTCTTACGACGCTCGGCCATTTTCAAAGAATCGCGGTGAGAAACATGAGCTTCAACGACTGTCTCACCATAAATCTACGCCTGAAAGTGCGCAGAAAAAGATAGCTAAAGGGACGAGCACGTAGGACGGCCTTACGTAAACATATCATCAGAATGATTGACAATTAGGAGGACCATTTATTTAGATGATCCACCCGGAAATAAAAGATCGCCCTCTATACCTTTAATACTCTGAGCTCTGTGAGCGCTCCACTGGAAGCTGCTGCGGTGCATGCTGGGGCAGCTTTCAATCTTGAGAAAACCAAGTCTGCTCTGATGCATGCTCGGTAAAGAGGGAGGGGTGAGAACAACATCTGAGGACTTTGACTTCTTGTTCTTGTGAATTTGAACAGTACTGGGGCTGAGGCTGGTGACGTTTCATAAGCCACTTGTACATGAGAATGCACAAGTGCCCATATTGAGAAACGGTCGAGGATTTCTCCAATTTCCCTTGTCACCTGCGACAGAGGAACTTCATCTTCGGTTTGCAGCAGCTGGCTGATCTCCCCATCTCTCTTCCTCAGCTCCTCCAGGTCCTTCTGCAGAAGCTCGATATCTTGCTGCACTCTCCCGACAGCTGCTCGCCCTTTTGCTTCCAGCACAGCTTGAACCTAAAACACATAAACAGATATATTACCAGACATGGCAGGATGTAATAGACGGTGCCTTCCTGGAATATGATATGTATTCAAGACAGGTTTTGCTCCTGTATTTTGCTTCATCCATCCTTCTATCAATGAACCAGAAGAAAAGCACCAACAGCAGGATGCTGCCTTCATCAGGCTTCACTGTAGGAATGATGTGCTTTGATACAATATGGCAGGGAAGCAGTGAGATTGTCTTCTTCTAAGAAAAGCTTTGGTTCCCACCATTTTGTTTAATAAATGGTAGCTTGAACAGAAAACTGTGAGAAGTCCGAAGCTTGGAAGACTGTTTTAATAAACGAAACCTGTTTTAGGCATCCTCATCATCCAACATCTTATCTCTGAACTATCTGGGGTGTTTCCTGAGGAAAGAACATAAATGCCTGCAGAATCTCATGAACAGTAATAGTACAGATCACTAAAATATTTACAGATATGAATTCAGAGAGACCATTTTTCCTTTCCTGAACCTTTACCAACACTTAGGGTTAGTATATTTGTGTGTACTGCAGCTGTTAACCCTCAGCACCAGAATGATCTCAAAACCTTTCACTTCTGCTTCTTACCTCAGCTTTAGTTTTCTCCAGGCGGTGTGCCATCTCAGTAAACAGAGCTTCACTCTCCTCCAGAACTGCTGTGGATGATACCTAAAAAAAAAAAACATCTAAACAGTGAGGCTGATAAAAAAAGAAAAAAGTTCAATAAACTCTATTCCGAAGAGTCTTTATAGCAAACTTCGATCTGTGTTTTTAGGAGCTTCAGCCTAAACAGCATTATTTTCAAATGTAGATTCAAGTCTTTATTTAAGTTCAACCAACATGAATTTATAATTTGGGACATCAGATAAAACATAGATGGGCTGAGTTGAGAAGTTGTATCCAGATGTTTTCCTTCATATACAAATAAAACAAACAAAATGTTTTTCTCTGAGTTAACTTAAAAAAAGATCAAAAACACTCAATTACTGCAGTGGCGATTTCTCATTGAATACTAGGGAGGCTGAACCTCCCCTGTAAATTTCGTTAAATGTATTGGTAAAATATGCATTGTCAAACTTCATACATTTAGTCATTAAACTGTATTAAATATGCACTAAAATACGCCTTATTTCATGAGTATGTTGCGTATTAATCAGCTATTTTCAGCTCTTGGAAGCAATCTCCCCTCTGGTCAGGAGGAGCTCGATTCTGCCCGTCTGTCTCTATGAATAGCGAGAAAGTAGAGCCCTGATTTAGTTTTTTTTTTTTTATTTCCTGGATGATTATCTGATGCGCTCTTTCAGTAATTTCGGTAGATGGCGAGGTGGGTTAAGGTTTCTGTTCTATTTTTCTGTTTAGTCAATATGTTGATGGCTCTCACTGTCGTTCTCTGGGCTCTCAAAGCCTTAGAGATGGCTTGGAAATCCTTCCCAGACTAATGGATGTCAATTATCTATTTTCCGCACTGTTTAGATTTTTTTTATTAGGCCTTAATTCCCTGTTGTCAAGAAGGGTCTATATAAGTGATTTTTTTTGTGTGAAATTATTCCATAATTGTTGTTTGTCACATATTTTTGACAATTCTACGAGCAGTTTTAATTGATTAAGGTATTTTTCTTTTTTAAACCATTAACTGTACTCTATGATTATCTCTAACTGAGAATCAAATTTGTCAAATAATTTGAAACAGTGACATGTGTAAGACGGGCAATGGCAGAAATCTATAACTTACATCAGTCTCCCACAGCGTTGATGTCAAAGAGCCTATTCATTGAAAAAGCTTCCTGGATGGGAAGCGAAACGTCTTCAAACTTGGAAACAAAATCCAGTGGAGTTTTGAACTTTTTTGGAAAGAGTCTTCAAACTTATTTTCCTCATTTCAAAGTGAAACATCTGTCTTTTATTCCCTTATAATTTGAATATCAACCAAAACAAAAGGTGCAGCCTATTTAAAGTGATTATACATTTTTTTTTTCAGAAATAGATTGTTTAAAGTCTCTATCAGAGCTTTTTTCTGCAGTTTGATTTTAGATCCTCAACAGTTCTACCAATAAAGTCTAATAAAGACTAGTAGTTACAGTCAACGTGCTTTTTCTTATATTAGCTCCTACACATTTTTGCATGCTAAATGTGTTGTTTTTTTTTTCTTTAGCAAAACCTTTATCCAATCTAAACTTTTATTTCTTCTTGCTCATCTTTTCCAACCAAGTTTGATCTACAGCATTTTTAACTGCAATAGATGAATGAAAGAAGATGCAATAACAAGAACAGCCCATCATTTATTATGAACCTTGTATATTGTGTTAGACTCTCGATCACCTTTCTACAAACTGTTCCCTGTTACAGAGAAACCTGGAGGCGTCAGATAACAGCAGGTCATTTATTCCTGGTTAATTCCACTCAGGCTCAAAGACACATTTTGAACTCTTGAGACGTCCCCTTCACATTAGTAATTAGTAAGTTCTTGGAAACTCTTCCCCACTGATGAAAGACAATGTTCACAGAACTACTGGGCTAACATAGAGGAACAGGAACGGTGTGAGTCAGTTGCCTTGGTTACCTTGAGGGACTCCAGGCTTTGTTGCAGCTCTTCTTGGTTTCTTTCTCCAGTCCGTATCCTGCCCTGAACCTTCTTCTGGGACTCCTGGAGCTGGAGCTGAAACAATGACACACTAAGCCAAAACAAGGCTTTGTTTTTGGTCCACTTTATAAAGCCTCAAGCTCAATGCTATTTCTGACATTTTGAATTGAAACAGCTTCCTGGATGGGAAGCAAAACATCTTCAAAATTGGAATAGTTGATTACAAGTTGATTTTTTTTTTTTTTTTTTTTTTTTTTTTTTTTTTTAACTTTTTTGGAATTATACAGTCATCAACATTACCTTAAGTATAAAAAGGTACACTGAATTAGCCTAAAAAAAATTATTTCATTCATTCACAGTATCATATGAGCTATGCAGTTGCAGGTTTTTCAAAAGGATTAACTAACTTGCAGTCATATTCAGAGAAAGACAATACCCTGCAACGCCCTGTGAGTTTTTCCAACATATTTGGACATATGAATCCCTGTATTATCTTAAAAAAAACATCTAAAATAAGAATTTTAAACAATGTCTGCTAAATGTAATTACAGCAAGAGAGCATCTGGTGAGAACTTATAGGACATTCTCCAATTTACTTCTAATTAAAATACCTAAACTTAAAAATATCATAGATATATACACCTGGAGCTCACTCTTTGTACTGCTGCTCAGCCTTTTGTTTACACTCTCAGAAATATATTTTGGTTGACTGTTGAGGTGAAAGTGAAGCCTATGGTGTTGAAAGAGCTGTCAGGTTGACTTCATGATAAATGTGCTGTTAATCAGGAGGGAAAATTAGTTTGAGGACTAATTGGAGAACTTTAAATACAACATGCCCACAAGATTGACTTTTTTTCAGGTATGGAAAAAAAAATCCTCTGGTGCTAAATTATCTTCCATTCAAAACATATTAATTGATTAAAGTTAAGTAAATCTATGGGATTTGTTTATTCTGCTCATTTGAATCATTCAGTATTTTGGTATATCAGGCCTGCAGTCCTGGCTGTCGATACAGAGGGGTTTGGTTCAGGGCGATGGAGCAATCATGACTGGCATAATCCACATTTTATTGTCAAAAACAGATTTATTCACAGTCTTAAGGGAAACAAATATAAAATTTTGTTCCAAATCTACTTCTATTTGTGATTT